TTACAATCTTAACATTATCTTAAAAATAAACCATTCAAAATGGTCTCAGGAAGGCATTTAAAAAAGATTCAAGTAGTTAAACTATGTAAGTTTGGAATTTCAAATACAAAATAAATAATCAAAGTCGCCTTATTGGCCAACATAAAAGTAAATATGCAAAAAAAAACAACCTCAAAAGTTTGGTAATAGTACCTAACCTAGTTAAATTGACTAAAATCAAATTTGAAAGTTAATACAACAGCTGTACGAGAAGTTCCTGGAGCAGAGCATGGCTTTGGAAGTTTCCTTACAATATCAGTGATCGGTATGCAGGATTGGTCTCCTTTGTCAGGGAACAAAAATTTTAAGCTACGAAATACTTCTGTAATCCTTTTTTGGCAGAGTGACACTTTAGCAATAAACAGTCATTTTCATTTAAATTTTCATTTGTCAAGTATTGAGTTGATACCATTTCGTCAACTAGATTATCAGACTCAGAATTATTTTGACCACATATTAAATCCATACCATAATCATCATGAAAAGATATATTTCCATTAGATTCTGAGTCCGACTGATATTTTGGCAACGGTTTTTCTTTTTATACGTATTGTTCTTAAGCGTCTTGATAAAGACATAATAGAAGGCTTGCGTATCATCCGTAGCTTCTACTGCGCATTTTTCGGGAGTATCAGTTAAGATTCGTGACGAACCGTTCTTTCTGCTGAGACTAGTTGATCTGGAAAGACTGATGTTTTCAGGTTTTCGCAAAGATAATACTGGGTGCCTTTTCATAAAGTTTTTCATCCATTCAATGTCCATACTCTTGTTATCTAACCATTTTTCAGGACACTTATCTAACGCTGACGCATATTGATATGCCAATTTTCGACCTTGTAAATAGGTAAGAAAATAATCCATTTTGGATACATTTTAAAGTCCCTTTCCGGAATAAGTTCCTCATCATTAGTGAAAATTTGATGCACAACGCGTTTGCTGCTATAGTTTACATTTTTTGGCATTACATTCTCTTTATATTTCTTTACTCTGTAGTACAAAGTGGTTGGTTTTATATTATATATAGCAGCAGCGGTCCTCAGTTTCATGCTATCATTGACAACACACAATACAGCTCTCTCGGCGTCTTCTTCGTTAACATCATTTTCTTTTTTCTTTTTGCAATTTCTTACCATTGTGATTCACAACTGTAAAAGAATATAAAATGAACTTATTTATTTATATTTATCAATTATTTTAAAAAATAAATAAACATCATTTGTTCAAATAGCGGGGGCACTTTTGAACATTTTATTCATAACTTCCCCACAGATTTTTTTCAAATCTGCCCCAATACCATCCTTTAGAAACAAAATTATGGAGACGACCAAGAAACTTGTATTTAATTAATTTATTCATAATGTTCACAACATTATGAAATAATCAAAACTCGAAAATAATACTTACATTTTCCGTAATCCGTTAACAACAAAAAATAAAAATGTTTGGTTTCGTTTCCGTAAAGTAACCGACAAATTTTATTTTGTTTGACACTGATATTGACGTAAACTGGCAACTGACTGACGTGTAGTTCGGTGTTACCAGTATTAAAAAGGCATTTGAGGTTAGGAAACACAAATGATGCTTTCGTAAATCGAATAATTCAAAACTGTCTCTGTTCTAAACTGCCCCCTCACCCCTACGTTATCACCACGATCTGTCGGCACACAAATGAAGCCCACTGCAGTGGACAACAAATATTTACTCTTATGTAGCATTTACCCGCACGAAACGTCCACTCCCTCCGGGTTGTTTTGTTCGCGATATCCACAATAGAAACACTCAAACACAGAGGACTTGTTAAAACTATATTAGTATTAGACAAAACTTAAAAGCACATAAATTCGTCCGGCGCGCGCATGACGTCAAGCGGAGCTAAAAATTTGAATTTGAAGGGATATGGTACTTGTACCTTTCTAAAAATCGATAAAATCAAATTTTTCGACAGCGCTCGGCAACGAAACCTATATCTCGGAACGGAGCATCGTACAGCGTCGCCATTGGTACAGAAAAAAGTTTTAATTTTTTGTATGTTCTCCGTCGACGCTACATAAAAACACGAATAACTTTCCAACGGTGTGAGCTAAGCTGAAATTTGGCTCCTTTTAACGAAAATGGGGTCGAAAAAATTAAAATACCATCTTTACAACGGTCCAAAGATTTTTTTTCAAAAATGGTTACAAACATCAACAACGAGGACGCAGACGCAGAAAATCCAAATCTAAAAATTATTAACAAAAAGATTTTTTGCAAATGTATAGGGTGTCTCGGCAATTTGCAAAAAACTAAATACTGGGTTCTTCTTTTACTGAAAATTGGATATAACATATTGTATTACACAGCAATACTGAGAGTATGGTCAGCTAAAATCTTCGTATTTGACGTTTTCACATATTGAACAGGGTGTTCGGGAAATATCATGCTATATTAAAAAGTATGATAGGTGTCTTAATCTAGATATAGAACTCTATACCCACGTTTAAACTTTACAAGATGGGCGAATCAAAAGTAGTGAAGTATTTTTTTAGAAATTTTGTCAATTTTTTTGGGTTCTTTTTTTTTATAGATAAAATATTTTTCTCCAAAACTATTTAGCCGATGGGCAAAATTCTTGGACCAGGATAAGCGGGACGTCCTGGACTATAGCTTTTATTTCAAGCATCTTTTTGATTATATATTTTTCAATTATAGACAAAAATCTAAAGGACGTTGACAATTTATTCTTTTCCGCCTTAAATTATTAGCCGTAAATCAAAATTGATTTGCACAGTAATGAAGGGCACATCGGGGCAATTTTTGTACTTACCGTTTTCGTCTATCGCACAGGATTCTCGGTATATTTGAAAAAAATCCATTTGACAGTCCCTATATCTCACACTCAATCTAGAGACGATGACGTCATTTACTGTTACGGTGTACTGCATGGTTTCAAAAAACAAGTATTCTCTCGAAAACCATTTACTCTCTTGGACAAATTCATGAACCAGGAAACGTGGGAGATACAGGGTTGAAACTTTTACTTCGCGAATTTTTTGGGTTATGTGTGTCGATTATGAGTAAAAAAAAACAAAAATATCCTGAACATTGATGTAAATGAAAAACTATAAAACATTGGATAATTTGGTTTAAACAGTACCATAATTTCTGTGGAGAGATAGTTTCAGGTTTCGTCTATCATATAGAACATCGCTATTATTTGTATAAATTTTTGTATTTACAAAAGAAATTCGGTGAAACGTGAAAGACACTTTTTACAGGGTACATACACAATACAATTACATCGATTTTAAATTTAATTTAAAATTAATGCGTCCCTCTAAAATGAGAAACCCCGAAGCTGCTTCTTTAAAATACAAATCTGCTCCGGGCAACGCACTACCCATTCGCCTTGGTCACCGATGAAATTTGCAAAGAAATCTTGTTTACAGTGCAATTACCAAAGTTTGTTAAATGTAATTGTTTAGATTAAAAAGCAAGTTGCTATTATATTTGTACAAAACAAATATCCAGAAACATATAAAAAAATCGTTACGTTTTGCTATACTGATACTATTGCTATAATGATATACAACAAACAGGTATCGTGATTATGACTATGGCAGAAATCAAACGACTTAAGGCATTTGAATTGACGATAATGTATTTCATACATTTGATTGTCCAAACCTCGCTAGAAAAAATCTCAAATTTACAAAATATGAATAAAGGAAAATAATTTTTCATAACTCAGAAATAGATTTTGAATTAGGTATATTTAACTTATTTTATTTTTGAAATACCTTTTTCTCTAAAACTTAAACAGTTTAAAGTGTTAAATAATCCTGAAAGTCAAATACTTTTATTTAAAACAAAAAAAAGAAATCAAACATGAAGTGTAGAAACTATTTATTCCAGTAAAGGAGTAAAGTTAATAAACAAATGTTCAATATCATGAATACTGTACACATCGAGTAAAGCCTTACACAACTTACAACTTTAACATATCGATGGTGGAAAGCCAGGAGAATTGCTTAAATATCCTGCGCAGATTAATAGATTCTGCGAATTTAAAGAGTTGAAAATAATAATAATAGATAGGTCATCTATTGCTGTGAAGGTTTACTTAATCCTCCCGATAAATGATAAACCCAAGTAAAATAATCTTCATTTGATGTCAACAAACATCAGTCTTAGTACTAAAATTTAAAACATTATTTTTATCAGAAAACATTACAATAATATTATTAAATTATCCTTTCATCTTATTTATATGGCTACCATTACCATCAAAAAACATCCCTATATCAGTTAGTAAACACGACAATATCAATTAGGTACATTATTTCAAAGCATTTCTTTCCAAAAATTTTTTGGGTTGGAATTTAGTTACATGCTGGAGCCCTCTAAACTAATAAAGGGTACATTAAAAAAAGAAACTTACCTGCTTTCTAAAAGAGTTTCGAATAATTTTATTCTTTTTCTTCTATTAATTCGACTATTTCGAGCCAATTTCCTTTTGATATCCCTCGATTTTTACAATGGCAAATTAAGAAATGGTACGGCGTCTGGTTTAGGTAATCGGCAATTTCGGGCGGTATAGCTGGAAAAGTAGATTGCTTTCGTAAAAAGATACATCGAAATGTCTAGAACAAACTCTGGCAGTTTTTAAATTAATTGGGTCTGCAAGCTATCACCCAACTCTTTATCTTTGTTGTATCATGCATAAAACCGACTGCTATTCCAATGTTTAAAATAGGCGGGAAGCGTCTGTCGCTCTAAAACTGTGCAGATTTGTGACTGTACTGCGAAAAAGAAGAAGACGCAATCAATAAACGTCGGTTGTGTATTTCGTGACGTCTGCACGGTTGGGCCGAGCGATCTAACCAATCTTTTAAGAATTTGGGTGGAGGTCTCGAGCCAGAGTCGGTCAGATAGAAAGAACAAGTTGAAGAAGAAAGACTAACCTATCTTTTAAATTTTTTTAGGCGAAAGGGTATGCGTGCGCTGCGAGTCGGAAGCCTTACACGAAAATTTAGGATGGAGATGTCAAGGGCACGGCGTTGAGGGTAGAATAACACGGTGGTCAGCCCTGTCGGCGCCCCACTGCCACGGCAAATGGTTGCGAGCTAGGGCGGAGCCCGACAGGACATGCACGGACAGGACGTGCAAGGACCAAAACGCCGCTTTTATTTTCGTCTAGAGTAGTTTTTTCCGAAGATGTGTGATTATATGGACATTCAATTGATCAGGTTGTCACAAATTTCGGTATTAAATCGCCGCTAACGAGTAATGTCCTTTCCCCCTCTTATGTGGTGGTATTTTTTACTGGGCCAGTTTGGGAAGTTTGCGCTGGAGGAGGTGAATTGGTAGAACCAGTTTTCGTTTAGTTTTACATGTTTTCGACTGACTTGTTTTATTGAATTGACTGACTGAACTGGCATTTTATTTTGTATTTTATACCATTTCGTTCATGTTTTTCTTATGTTTGTGATGACCGCAACATAACTGCGTGCAATTTAACGGAAACTAACCAAACCATGTTTATACTAACCGTCATGGAAGAATGTAATAATAATAGTAATATTCGTGAGTTTATGTTGTAGAATGTGTGTCTTAGGCTCTATAAATAATTATTATGGTTATCAGTAGCGTTTAATAACTGATATTTTTACTAACCGATAATGTAAATATACAAAAGTATTTTTTCTGTAGTTTACTGTAACGTATATTTTGTCAAAACATATCACGAGGATACAAACACAAATTTATGTAATTGTTAATTTCGACGAAATAAACTTACAATAAAAATGGTGTACCTTTAATTTTCAATTCCTAAGAAACAGCTGACTAACACGAAGACTGCTACTCATTTTATGTCCTAATAATGAAAAAACAAATATTGATCATCGAAATTGGTATTATTGTTTTTGCTTGCGTTGAAGTTAATATTTGAACCAGTTTTTCTACTCTCAGTTAGTTTCAAAACACGCGTTTTGAGCGCTTCAACTGCCTTCTTCGAGCGTCGAAAATCGTTGACCACGTAATTTGTTTTATATGCAGGAATAAAAAGATGTCATTTTAATTGATATGTGAGAGCTCGCATTGTCTTGGTGAAATATGATTCGTCTCTTCTGCTTATTTTGACGAATTGTTCGTTATTAAGTTGACCTAACGCCACTGTAGATTTTGTTTGTCTTGAAAAATCCATACGGTCGATTTAGTGGGGTCAAAAAGCGTATCTTGAAAAAACATTAATAGACTTAGAAACAGGTAAAACCTGTTACTCAAATCATTAGTTAGCTTATTTTACATACGAAATGGGTAATTACGACTTTTTTAGTGATAGCGAGTTTTGTATAATTGAAAAAATTGGCAAAAATGCAGAAATTAAAAAAAAATACTTTTTACCATTGGCCATCTAATAATTTTGAAACTATTCAACATATTGTATTGTCATAAGCCGATGATTACGAGAATCAAAAAAGTATTGATGTAATTTTAATGAACTAACGATCATTTGTATTAGTTTTTAAATAGGCAAAATATATATTCTTTTCAAAATCATTTAGAGATCTTTATTCAAAGATTCCGCTGTCCCTATGTGTCTTTCTTGCTACAGTATTTGCAATTACATAAATTAATAAGAATTTCTTATGGGCGGATGATATGAGAAAATCTTTAAAAATCTGGAACCTTTCGGGAAACAGAAACTTTATTTTCAGTTACATCATAACTGCAAATATTTTGGCTCTTCAAAAATATTTGTCCTAAGTCGTTGAATGTCATAGAAGAAGTATGTTCCAATTCCAGAATGATTTCCATAACATCAATAATATAACGATGTACATTTGAATGTAAATCCATGTACTCAGCATTGGCATGACGCATGAAACAGTGCTGAAGGAATTTAGCTCATACTATAATAGGTAGAGTTGTAGAATTGACTGGTCAATTTTTTTTGTGTCAATTGACCGATCAGTTGAAGGAAATAATTTTAAAAACACAATGAAGTTTTTGTTTATTTATTTATATTGCGCGTTATCGTAGTCGAGTATTCCTTGTGAGGGTAATAGGTAAATTGGACATCACAAACCGATAATCATTTATTATAAAATACATATTATTATTATATCATGGTAGATAACACTCTACAATTGTTATTTAAAACATTTTGATCGAATTTGACTGGTCAATTAAGAAATAATCAATTGTCTGTCAATTAACCAGTTTGACCAGTCCCAACACTAATAATAGGTTATTTATAGTATGTTTTGCAACAAGTGCGGTAAACGGCATTTGACCCACGCTCAGCTCGTGTTTAATAGACGAGTGACTTATAAAGTTTGCTAAACGTGTTGCTTACTATACTTTTGCTGGGACCGTTAGTTTTTGGGTACATTTTGACAAAACATTCACTGACATATCCGTCAGAATTAACAAACGTCAAAATTCAAAGCGTGGGAAATATTTCCGAAAACATCCGATTGCTCCCAAACCGGTGCGGGAAAATTCCGGAAAAAAAATCCGCGCGCGCTAGATCATTTCAAAAATTTTTTGCTGCACAGATTATTCTGCGAATTCCGACCCTACAACAACCATGTTTTTAGAAAGACTTATTATTCTTCCGTTTTTAAAAGTACTTATTTTGTCCTCTTTATTATGTTAGTTGTTTTTTTATCAACTGTTTGTTAATAATTAGACTTTTTTCAATTTCTTTTGTGGCTACTTTCCCCTGCATATATTTATTAGTTGTTTAGGAACATCATCCAAATCGAATGGAGTGCAGCAATTGACTTCAACTGCATTCAACATTTCAATTACATCATTTTTACAAGCTGACTTTATTCCTTGAGGTTTATCTTCGAGATTTTTATTAAATATTGATTAGTGTAAAATTATTTCTGGATTCAAGTAAACAGTGACACGTTGTCATCCATCCTGGATTTTGGGAAGAATATTACCGTCGGAATGTTTATGTTGACCGCTTGCGTTCACTTAAACGACCCCGAATAAGTGTGGGTCCCACATTGTAGATAAGAGTCTGCGTTTTTTTTAAACTTCCTTATATATTTTTCCACATTTCTTTAGCAGCATAGAGTATGAACATTTTCCAAAAAAAAAAAAACAGTTTCTCGCTTTCATATTTCAGGTCGTGAAAAAAAAAAGGTAATAAAAAATCTATGCTCTTCAAGTCAATCACAAAATTATTCGGATAGATTAAATAGTTCCGCAATATCGGAGGGTAAATAATAAAAAAAGTAATTTTTTTGAATTTCCGCATTTTTTCCAGTTATTTCAATATTACAACATTCAGTTACACTAAAAAAAGTCGTAGTTGCCCATTTCATTCATACAATTTCAATTCATTTGGTTCAGAGCAGAAAAAAAAAACTGAACATTTTTACCTAATTTTTGTTCCACTAATTGCTGTTTTATTTCAGGCTCATATGCATTGATCCATGATTCGTCACCTGTGCCAATATTATAGACCGCTTTTGAAGCACCTCGTTGATATTGTTTCAACATTTCTTTGCACCAATCGACACGAACCTTTTTTTTTGAGCGTTTGTCAAATTATGCGAAATCCAACGCAAACAAGTCTTTTTAGTCGCCAAATAATTATGTAATATCTTATTGATGCTTATCATACTAATGCCCAAGGATGCCTCAATCACACGATATGTAACAAGAGGATCTTGCAGTATCAGTTCACGTACAGCATCGATGTTTTGAGGCACAACTGATTGAATTCGTTATACCAAGTTTTCATAGTGCTGTAGGATGTTGCTTTATCGCCATATAAAGAACTAAGTTCATCGATGCATTTTTTTATTGTTAATCCACATTGAAAGTTATGAAAGTTTTTATAAAAAAATAATGATTGTCATTATTATTATTTTTATATAGCATTTATTGTAATAAAATGCAAATACAGTGTTATACTACAAGTCCAATACATCCCACGAAGACAATAAATACAGTTTTCGTTCGACAAGAATATCCTCGTAACCTAAATACTTCCCTAGAATACTATTAGCTAAACTCTAAACTACTTGGATAACTTAAAAGTTCTAGCTTTGAAAACTTTTTTTTTGAAACCTTGGTAGAACCAAAAAAAACTGGAAAAAGAAAAGATTTTGTCTGTGGTAAATAAATAATAACGCTTGGATTAGATCACTTATTTTAACATAGTAATCATGTGGCGTAAATATAGATACAAAAACTAGAAAATAATTATAAGCAAATAATGGATTAATTAATTAATTGTTAAATAATTAATTCTTCAAATCTATTATACTATGAATTTCATCTCTAGTTATTTCAGTTTTAATAAATGTTTTTCATCTGATTTTAAATAATGAAAGTGTTTTACTAAACGTCAGATTGCACCTAAAACCACTTGGTGTTACTAAGGTTAGAAATAAATACAAGTAGCAGCCCTCGTATTACCATCACTCCAAGAATCAGTACGTCGGCTCCATCTGTGGTTTAAAGATTAAGCTAAAGCGAACATGCGCTCCTTTCTACAAAACCAGAGCAAGACGTGTAGGCAACCAAATAAACACCACGTTAATAGTTCCGTGGTTTACAAATCGATGAAAAAGTGGTACATTATTATTCTATGGAAAAAGTTTCCATCAAGGTTTTAAAAATTATTTTTCATTTGATAACACACTTTAAATTTATTTAGCAATTTTGCCGTAGCGTATATTCGCGCAATCCCATGGATTTATCAGTTTTCAAAGCGTAATCGCTCATCCAATATTGACGAATATGTAGGTTATGCCATTGGGTTTGTTGACGTTCGCCAATGTAATTTACAACACCTTTATCGGCGTAATTAACGGTAAAACCAACCGCAAACATGTTGATAAAGGCTTCCCGTTAACGTCAGCCATGAAAATTGACATAGAAGAATACGCACAAAACTCGGGTTCGAAAACAAAGTGCTTCAGCCTGGGCAGCTCATTGTACTTCCTATCCGTCGGCAGGATTCTGGCCATATTGTCCACCGCCCTGGTTATAATTTGTACGCTTCTCCTCTTCAAGACTTACATCAAACTTGTGCTTCTGTGGCTAGAAAAGCAAGACGACTGGATTATCGCCGCTACCATATGTATACTGTTTATCTTGGTGTCTCTTCCAATAAGTGTGGGCTACATCGTTCTGGTCCTGACCTCGGGCTACCTCTTTGGAGTGCCTCGCGCTTTAGTTTTAGTAGTATGTGGGGCAAATTTTGGCCTCCTGGTGGCCCACAACATCCTGCGGATGGTGAGCCACCATCCGGGCATCTACAGATTCACCCGCAACGAAACCGCCTCAGCCATCATGCAAGTTATATCCGGTCCGCTGTGTTTCAAAATCGTATTGTGCTCCAGACTCACTCCAATCCCTTTCGGATTGCAAAATACAATTTTTGCTGTAAGTGTATGGTGTTTGACTCCCAACAATGGGTTAAGTTGCATCGATGTTTTAGTTAAGCAATGTTAGTGCCAAAGTCTACCACATAGCCTCATTCCTAGGGCTGCTTCCAGCGCAGTTCGTCGCGGTTTACGTCGGTTCCACCCTACGGTCCATGCAGGACGTTTTGGAGAACAATCACATATCGTCGACGACTTACTTTTTCGTGTGCGTCCAGGTAAGTAGGATTTTTCCCCACTCCATTTCTGGTCGCTAATAAACGCGATATTGTAGCTGTTGTTGGGCGCGTCTTTGATGTTTTGGATAGGTACCAAAGCGAGATACGAGCTTCTGAAAGTCATAGCACAGGCGGAAAGTTCTTCCGCGATGGCGACTTCCTTTTCTATGGTGTGATATTGGCGTCGTTTTAGATATCACACACTTATCAGTGGACTGTTATAGATAAGCTTTTCTGGGGGAAATCTATCAGTTCGCATTTACTGTTTGCATTTTGTTTATCGATAATAATAAAAAGAAAATGCGGGCCCGAGAATTAATGAATCATATGTTTTTATAAGATAAAGGTTTGGTTGCGCCCATGACATTAACTAAATATCAATTATGAAATGGTTTGCTTGGGAGGAAAATGCGATAGAGGGTGTTTGGAAATAACGTTAGAATAATTTAAAAATAAATAAACACTTTCCATATCAATTGGGGTCCGAAAATGCATACTTTTTTGTTTGAATTTGGTAGTGTTGTTTATTGTTATAAATTAATTAAATTAAAATTATTTAGTATAGTTGCGTCCCGGCTGACACCCAATGCATTATTTTCGACAAAAAAACAAGTTTAGTTTTCGTTAGTTGGTTAGTTTGATTTACCTCTTAAATTTTTTTCGTATTTTGCTTCTGTTTCGAGATTTTTTAAAAGTTCCTGTATCGACCCATATTCTTATTTTTTCATGTGAAAATCGCCACTTAGATTGTTCGAACATTATTTCCGGATACCCTGTATAATTTAGTTTTTTGCCAAAGACACCACCAAAATATCGACGTTCTGGGAATATCTAATCGAAACTAGTACTGGTGTGACGTCATAATTTGTGCTTGGTTTTGCGTCTAAACACAATGCTCGCTTTTCATTTCGCGTTGATTTTCGTCTACATAAGAATTATTTTACTGTGTCATCGAATAATGTGTCTCTAAAAGTAGAAGCTTCTGGCTTAATTTCCAAGTCTTTGTTTTGATTTTTACCACAACAGGAACTGTTTTTTCATTAGAGGCTTAAACTCAAACTTTTTTCCTTCATTGTGTCCAAAAATAGTTCCATTTTCTTTTTTGTATTTTTAAAATTTGTTTTGATACAGCGGTTAACCTAACCCCAAATTTTGACGTCGGCACTAAATGACGCCTGTATTGCGAAGGGACTTTTTGCACCTGTTATTTTGACGTTTATCCCTTATTTAAAGCCTGCGCAATTGATGGGAAAAAACGATTTCCCCTGTCGTTTCGCCTTACTAGAGGTTCGAGCTTAAGGAAATATTTCCAAGATATTTCCCCTTATTTCCTCAAATATTTCGCCTGTATCTCCCTCTATTTCCATTGCTTTCTCTCTTTCGAAAACTCGATGGGGTCAAAAATCGAAATCGAAATTTCGACATTCGGTCAAAGGTACCACGGGTCATTAACGGCAAAGGTAGACCCATAGATTTAAATCAAACTTCTATTTTTTATTTGTTTTTATTGTGACCAACACAACACAAAAAGTACGCAACTCTTTAAAAAATTAAGGCAAATAACATAATAATATACACTTTTTGCTTCTGCATTTTCCTTGTATAGTTTGAACAAAAATACTAATTTTCCCCCTTTTTCTATTCCCGTCCTGTTCCTTATATCTGAGTATACAAAACCAAAAGTGCTGAAAGTTCGTTCTATCGACGCTGAGGAAACAGTTACACACAGAAACTGTTTCATTATTGGTATGTATTCGCAATTTCTGACTCATCGTTTTGTGATGTCCACCACTGTATTCGATTTACGTTTTTTTATTTCATATATTTTTTTTAATGGGCTACTGTGCGCATTTAACTTCACAGATTCTTTTCTTAGGGTCTTAACTAATACTTTTGTTTTTGAGGGTTCAACATATAGGCTAGAACATGATATAGCGCGAGTGCCTACTAATATCGATCCTGAATTTTTTGTATTAATTAATTAATTAATTTTTTAAGTATTAATAATATTGAAAAAACTCTTATAATACCGTACAAAATTATTAATTAAAAATAAAAAACATTATTGAAATACAAGAAAATAAACAAAATATTTACATGCTTCCGCTAAATTGCCACTAAAACTCAAACTAACATTTTCATTCTTCCAAATCGACGTAATATCGGTTCTTTAGTCTTCATCAGACCAGCTGGAATAAAGAAAAACGTTTTTAGAATGTTAATAAAAAAAATATCAGTGACGTACTCTCTTAAATTTCCAATGTTTCAGTGCAGGTGTTACAGACAAATCCCTGTCCAGAATGTTGCTTGCAAACGGGTTTTTCACATTTTGAACACGTCATTGGAGATTTTCTATCTTTTGCTCGTGGACATAGAGACTTTTTTTATTGTTTTTTTATTTTTGTGGGGATATATTTTGACTTATGTGGGTTTAATAACACACACTGAAGCGTTTCATTTTAAGAAGGATGTATTAAATATTGGAATTTATAAGAAAACTAACAAAATTCATTGTACACTTGGTCCGTGGTCCGCCATTCCACCGCGTTCTTCTCTAGTCACGTAGGCCAAAAAGATTATTTGACAATAACTGCGTTCTGCACTAATACATTCAACACACCCCCTCAATTTAAATGCATCAACAAACTGCAATCAAATGCACTTAAATTGTCCAATAACATACAATTTCCTTAAGTGTTACTTTTGCTTATCACCATTGATCTAAATTTAACAAATTTTTCTTTTCCTAAAGATTTCGTGAACATATCAGCACAGTTTTCTACTAAAGATACATATTTAAGTAACAAAACCCCTTTTAAATGTAGATCTTTGATGAAATGGTACTTTATGTCAATGTGTTTATCACGCTTAGAGTTTTCACAGTTCTTGATCATAGATATGGCACTAATATTGTCTAAGTTCAAAGTCACTGGTCCACACTTATTTGTTAAGTCACTTAACACACCTCTCAAATTAACAAGTTCTTGTGCTGCAAGTCCTGCGGAAATATATTCTGCCTCCATTGATGATAATGCAACACAATTTTGTTTTCGTGAGTGCCATGCAATTGGGTTTTTGCCATGGAAACATACAAAACCACTAACACTCTTGCGAGTTAAATGGTCGCCTCCCCAATCAGTGTCACATACACCTGTAAGTTTTTGGTCTGGCTAGATGAATGTTAGTCCAAGGTCAATAGTGCAACTCAGATAACGAAGAATCCTCTTCGCTGCATTCCATACACACATATTTGGTGTGTCCAAAAATCGAGATAAATATGAAACACTATATGCAATATCTGGTCTAGTTACCAAAGACAGATACATTAAACTACATACCAATCTTTTATATGGAACACTATCTACCTCTGTCATAGTCATGTCCACTTGAAAATTTACTTCCATTGGCGTTGCTACTGGTCGAGTTTCCCCCATGCCAAATTCTTCTAAAAGTCTGGTAATCATTCTCTTTTGGGTAATTTGGATGTCATTGTTGTTCCTCTTCAAGTCCATGCCAAGAAATGTCTTAACTTCTGACATTGTTTTAACCTTAACTCCTCGAATAAACTCCTGCTGAGTTTCTTCACCTGATCTTCGGGTCCAGTATTAAGAGCATCATCGACAAATAGTGCTAGCAACATATTGCCATTCACATATAAACAGTAGTCATATTGGGATCTTCGAAAATTTAAACTAGTCATAACTTGGTTAAATTTCTTGTTCCAACATTTGGGTGCATTTCGTAGTCCATATAAAGCACGTTTTAATTTTAAATACCTAGACTTCGTTTTCAAACCGTCTGGTGCTTTTATGTACACATCATTGTCTAAAATTCCATTTAGAAATGCAGCAGGAACGTCAATTTGGTGCAGTTTCCAATTATTCTGCAAAGATACTGAAATTAGTAGTCTTAGTAGCCAATCTGCATACCGGTGAGTAACTGAAGTTGTCATTTTCGGTATAAGGTACTTGAAAACCTCTTGCAACCAACCTGGCTTTCCTTGTACCATCTTCTTTCACTTTGAATATCCACTTTGTGTCTATAGCTTTATGACCTTCAGGAAGTTCTGTTGGAATCCATGTTTGAGAATTTTCATGAGCTCGTATTTCCTTTTCTATGGCTTCCCTCCAGTCTGCAGTTTTACAAACTTCTTCATATACATTGTAGATTTCATAGTCACTTAGTGTTCTTGGTCTTTCCAGTATTCTTCTATGTCTTGTTATTGTCATATTGTGTATTGGTAAACATTCATCATGTTCATCACTACTTAAGCTATCTACTCTTTCTTGTAACTCACCATCCCTTTGAAATTGTTCTTCATCCTGGGTGTCATCTATTTTATTTAGTTCCCTGTTTTCTCTCTTTTCTATATCCTCTTCTTGATCAGGTAAGTATACTGCATTTTTTCTTACTTGTGTTGACTCTTCTGTATCTTTCTTCTCATAGCTAATTTTATACTCCATTATACTTTCATCAAATCTTACATCTCTGGATTTTATTGTTTTCTGCTCCTGTGGTAACCACAATCTGTAACCGCCACCACAATATCCAACCATGACCGCCTTCCTTGCCTTAGCGTCTAACTTATTACTCTTTGGTAAGATGGTATACCAGGCGCGACAACCAAAAATCCTGAGCTTCCTTAGGTCATTTCGCCCATGTCAAATTGTGGAGGGTGTTACTCCCCTAGGTAGAGCTCTAGTTGAAATTCGATTTAATTCATATACCGAACATTTTAAAGCCTCATCCCATAGTGATTTTGGGATAACCGAATCAATTATCTTGGTTCTGACTTTATCCAGTAAAATACTATTCATGCGTTCTGCTTTCCCACCCTCTTGGGGTGTAAATGCCATGCTATGGTATATACCAGTGTGATACCTTTTTGTTTACAAAAATTTCTAAAACTACTGGAAAGAAATTCACCTCCATTATCTAGTCTAAATGCTTTAACCTTGACTTGATTTTGTGTTTCAAGATCTCGAAGTTACTGTACCAGATTTTCACTAGCTTCACCTTTGGTTTTTGAAATTCTGATTTTGAAGAAATGAGAATAATCATCTAATATAGTTTGGAAGTACTTACTACCATCTTTAGTTTGTGGATTGATTGGTCCGCAGACATCACTATGCACTAAATCTCCTATAGCTGTGGTTGTCCTTTTACTTCTCTCAAACGGACACCTTGTTGCCTTGCCCTCCATACAACTGCTGCATACCTGATTAGATTTTGATAAACCCTACTGCACAAGTGAGTCACCACCTGCATGTCGTAACCTTCTATGCCATAGGTCCTCCACTAAAATGTGACTCTGGTGAGGCAACGGTTCTATTATCTTGTTCATTGGTAACACATATAGTCCATTTTTGTTTTCACACTTCAACACAAAATTTCTACCATTTATGGTGGTGCCTTCTCGTTGGACTACAATCTTGTGCCCCCTTGTAGTTAGCTTTGAGGCTGATAACAAATTGTGCTTCATACCTGGAACAATGAGTGCTTCAACTGACAATTTGACCCCTTGACACTCTGCTTTTAACACTCCTGTCTTGTTGGACCTTACCATAATTTGGTAGCTCCTGCACACTATGCATTTTTCCGTCCAATTCCTCTTGTACAAAATGATTGCTTGCTCCTGAGTCCAATACGAAATTCATACCTTCGATGTGATTTCCGTAGTTTGCTGCATACAGAATTACGTCTTCTTCGGCTGTGTTGGCTTTCTGATTTCTATCTCCCGACGTTTGTACACTTCCTTTTCCTCTATCAACACGTGGGTTACCTCTGAATCCTCTATGTTGCCTGCCTCTAAAGTTCCCTTTTTCTCGTGGTCACTGCGCTTGAAAATGTTGGGGACTACCGCACGCCGAAACATTTCTTGCCACTTACACTCAAGCCTATTTCGCTGTCTTCATTGCTACAATTAGCTTTTGATTTCATTTTTATTTCTTCGTCCAATAACCTCGCTTTAACAAAATCATATTTTACATCTGAAATTGTCTCCAAAGCTGTTACAACTGTATCATATTGTACTGGCAGTGACAATAGTAAATGGCAAACTTTATCACTCTGACTTAGGTCTGATCCATGCTCTTTAAGCTCCCTGATAATTGTATCAAATTTTAGGAAATGGTCTTCAAGCCTTTCATTTGCGGTCGTTTTTAGATTTAACAGTTTTCTCCAACAGGATAATCTTGTAAAAGAGCTAGACCTTACAAAAACATTTTTCAATGCCTCAATTTGCGCCTTTGCACTTTTGCAATCTTTAATAATATCCAAGTGTTTGTCCGACACACCTTGAACTATTCTTGACTGTGCTTTATAATCCTTTTTCTCCCATTCCTCCTTTTCATTCGAAGTAGCACTTTCTCCTGGTTTATTACCTTGGATGGCCTCCTGGCAGTTTTCCCTTCGAAGCAAAGTTACCATTCTGAATTGCCAATTATTAAAATTGTTTGCTTCTAAAATTGGCACTGTATTGCTGTGTATTCCAGCCATAATTTAATAATCTATATGTTGTGCGTTCACACAGTTTTATATTGCCAAAATTTGGTTTTTCATTGACTCTTGACCTGCTCTTTTCTTTTCATTTATTAAAGCACTGCTCAAAACCATGTTTTTCTGCAAATGGATAAGCTAGGTGTTGCACATCCTTGTATGCAAAGCCAAAAAATCTTGTTCCCATTAGTTTCAAATAATTTTCAAGTTGTCTTCCTATTTCTAAATGGAAATCTTCCTAACTCTTTTCTATTAGGTTCTAGAATTTTATTTTTCTTGAACGCATACAATCGTAATATGGCTTGAGGAACTGCGAATGTTTTAGCCGGCCTTACCATCCATAATTCGCTTTAGTTCTGAAGTTTACAAGACCTTTTACAATTGCGTGGCATTGTTTACATTTGTTACATATTATGTCATCTCATTTTGTCCATAATTCAAAATAAATATTTATTTTAAATTAAAAAGGACATACACGATTACCAATTTCAAATGTATATGTTTTTAAATTTGTGGCGCGACTTTAAACACTATGTCGTTTTACCCGTATTTGTCATTTTTTACGTATTTCCCTTATATGGCTTCGTAAAGTTCTCCTTGGAATTTCAAACTCAGTGCTCGTTTTCCTCACGGCCATACCATTTCGAATTGCTTCCATAACTTCTGTTAAACGTTCTTCGGACCATAAAGCCCTGCTTTCTTGGCATTATAGTTTATCTAAAATAAACAAAACTAAATCTAAATCACAACTTTTGTTTCAAACAAGGCCCGAGGTTTATAGGTTGGGTCCCAAACATTTAAGGTTTTGGTTGTGATTTGCGTCGTATGCGCTTCAGCATCATCGAAAGAGAAGACGCAGAAAATCTTGAATTCAAAATAACGTCTCGGAAAAATTAGGTTATAATCCTTCCATAACCAATAAAGGTGAGATGTCATGAGAGGGGCAAAAAGTGGAAGGCTTTAAATGTTTGACTGCGGTTAAAAGTTACAGATTTAACAATGTGTGAGCTTGCTGTATTATAATTACGCAGAAACAAACAAGTATTTGGTTAGTTTCTGTTGGACTGGAGAAAAACATTTAAAGTGTTTCAGAAGGTACAGCATGTAGAACAACTTTGGTTAGTTTTGTTTAGTTTTGGGGAATTCCGGAATGCGCGTCATATCTGGTGTTTCGTAGAATAGGTTTATTATTAAGGTGACGACCAAAAATCATGTCTAAGTCAAAGATCTGTTAATTATTGATGAATAAATATTTATATTATTCTTACTCGAGCTGTTTTATTAATTCCTCAATCGCGCGAGACGCCCATGGTATATTGAACATCCGATTTCAAGACCTCCGTAACCAGAAGAAAAAAGGAAACTCTAAACTACGCCCCTTACCGGATCGTTCGATTTCGCTCTTTTTGTACTTTTTTTCAAATACCAAGAAAGTTATAAATAATGTTTGTTTAGGTTAAGGCAGCAAAAAAAAAGCCCATTGTTATTCTATATTGCTCTGCGAAATGCAAACGATTGTATTGTGCATGCACCCTGTACAACATGTTTTTCGATTATTCGAATAAGTGGTCCATCTATCCTTGAAATCGTGTCAAACTTTTTAACGTAAAGTTTTTTCCCAATATCTCGCGCACTCTGTGTAATAGACGAACAGCGCAAATACGAAAATCTTAAGTCTCGAAAAATCTCCATTTTTCACCGTTTCGTAATAATAAGTTAACCCCCAAAAAGACAATTTTCAAAGTTTTACATTTTTGCCCACGAGAGACCCTGTACACTGTGGTCGTAATTATAATGTTTTAACAGGAAAAACCTATTTCTGAACTAGATCAAAATAGACTTCATATTAAGGGCTCGATTTTTAAGAAACATTTAATGGTTAAAACTGCATGGCAATACTCTTGACTGCCAACTTTTTTGTTAATGAAAATTTTGGATATGGATAAAAACATTATTAGGGCATTTTTTAAGCCAAATGCAGGGGTGTACTCAGATTTTATCTACAGATTTCCGTTTTCTCTTCAGTAAATACAGCTTTATTTTATATAGCAATCATAATTGGCTATGGTCTAAAAAATGCACGTGTCGAAACTAGTCAAAGTTTTAGTTTTTCCAGCATTTGTTGCGTGAGGATATGCTTGAGCTTTCCAATACTTCTGCAATTATATGCAAATGCCGGTCTTCATTTAAGGGGTTTTTGATTTTTCCTTGGCCTTTTGAAATATCTGCAATTGGTTAATTTTTTTTTAATGTTTATTGCTGAGTAGTTAATGAAAACATCTATAGAGAATTTTAGACAGATTATAAATTAAACTAAGCATAATTTGTTTATTTATTACAAGTTTAGGTCGCTTACAGTACTTATTACCAAAAAATAGCAGCCACAATGTTAGTTCAAATCGGTGGATTTATACAAAACAAACATAAATCGGATGTAGAACATTATACAAAAAGAGAAAGATATTTAACACTCATACACTGCTAAGTTACACTATACGTATTTGATATTTCGTTTAAAGCAAAGGGGAATGCTTCTCTGTGTTGGTTCTACTATATGGGATTTCAAAGAGATTAGCATATCTTAAATGTCGAGCGGGAATTCTAAAGTTAAGTTTCGACAAAAGATATGGAGAATCAATTTGTGAGTTTGTTATTTTGTAAAACATAGACTAGGCTGCCACAGTCCGTTTATCTTCCAAACTAAGTATTTTGAACCGATTTTTAATTGAAATAATTAAGAATTAAAAGTTCATATTTTCACGAAATTATATATTTTGACATGACAATTGTTTCGACAACACCGTGTCTTTATCACATGTGGTTTGATAAAGACACGATGTTGTCGAAACAATTGTCATCTTAAAATATATAATTTCGGGAAAATCTGAACTTTTAGTACTTATTTATTTTGATAAATGGATTTTCATCAAGTAAACGCCTCCTCAGTTCGATTTTTAATTGGGCGATGATCTCTTCTTCTATACGAGTATGGTGTTTAAATGACCACTTTGTGTCAAGTGTAACTCCCAGATCCCTTACTTCGTTCACTCTTACCAGGTCATTGTTATTTATTTTATAAGTAAAATCTATTTTATTGACTTTTTTGGTGAACGAAATACTGTGACACTTTGCTGGATTTTTTGCTGATGAGATCCTGCTGCATTTTAAGCCAGTCCCTGTGGGTCCCTACGATACGAAATAATTTCAGATCGTCTGCATAAAGCGGTATATTGAGGTATTTGAAACACTTTCTTATATTGTTGATATATATATATATATATATATATATATATATATATATATATATATATATATATATATATATATATATGATGACACTATATTCCGGGATATCATCCGTTCGCTCGTTGAACTCCGACTGGAATCCTGCATCCGACTGGAATCCTGCAAATCTTGCATCCGACTGGAATCCTGCAGACGTTTCGCCAAAATCTCACTTGGCATCTTCAATGCTCGCGCTCCGAAAACACTTCGAACACTGGGCGGAGCGCGAGCATTGAAGATGCCAAGTGAGATTTTGGCGAAACGTCTGCAGGATTCCAGTCGGATGCAAGATTTGCAGGATTCCAGTCGGATGCAGGATTCCAGTCGGAGTTCAACGAGCGAACGGATGATATCCCGGAATATAGTGTCATCACATTTTTCCATCCGTGAATCAATACGTGAGAATATATATATATATATATATATATATATATATATATATATATATATATATATATATATATATATATATATATATATATATATATATATATATATATATATATATATATATAATAAAAAATAGTGCTCCCAGGTGGCTACCCTGAGGGACTCCAGACGTTGCATGAAACGGGTCTGACACATGTCCAGTAATCGGCACAGCACTCGCTCTCTCTCTCTCTGTGACCACTTCACAAGTGGGCTGCACACTCCCACCTCAGCAAGTCTCGTCAACAACAGTTGGTGGTTAATTTAAAAAATCTTAGTGATATTCAATATTTATTTAACACTGCCTAATTAAATATTAATCATTTATGACTTTCAAGAAGCTTTAGTTTTCTTATTGGAAAATATGTTATATAAAAAATGAAAGCATAAACAAATTTTGTTTATGTATATGCAAGTAATATAAATTAATAAATATAATTACGACGAACATAAGAATATAATTTTTAATGGACTATTCATCTTCATCGCTACTTGCATTGTAAAATACTATACATACATACATACATATTATAAAAAAATGCATTTCTGATCAAGTGTAGAAAGGGTTTGTAGTCCAATAAACTATTCCAGTGGATATTTTCCATCGATTAGAAGCCAACCATGTTCTTTAGAGTCAAAAAATTTGGGTTAGCAACTGTTGCATAATTTCAGATGGCACAAACTTTTATTTTATTTATCAGTAACTTCTCTTCAAAATTTTTGACTAATGGATTTCTTCCTTAAGAAACAAATCTAGAATTGTCTAGAATCTATTTCTCAGTAATATGAAATGGTTTTATTTTACATGTTCGGGCAAATGATGCAGTATAACACTACCTCTTAAAGCGTGATAAATTTATGCGTATATCGCTAATAGCAACGTATATATCCAAATATTTACTCTATTTATTAATTTGTGCATATTTCCCACTGTTATGATACCTCTATCAACTGCACGAATCACAACATTTGCATTTTCCGGCAATTTAGATATATGAAATAGAATTCTAGTATCAGATTCTTGATGTTTAGAATATAAAACCTCATCAATTTCACAATTTACTTACCCACCAATTTTGTAAAACATGTAACAAATATCCTCACAATTTATCCGTGTAATTTTTTCTCCCAAAATACATCACTAAAAACTGCACAGATTCAGTTTTAGAAGAGTCACTTCTTAATTATTCTAAAACATCTTTAGGCCACTTCTGCTCTTCTCCAATAATATTAAACACGTTATCTCTTGCTAATATCCCTGCTCTTCTGTCTCCTTCGATGTCTTTTATTGATGGAACTACACAGTTATCAAAAATTAGGTCTATTCTTTGACTTGATGTTCTGCATAGCTTCTTAATGATCTAGATATCGAATTTGTCAATAATTTTTTGTAATAATTTATATAATTTTGAACTTTTTCTTTTGTTAATATTTCCGTCAAGATGACTTAGTGACAATGGGGCGGGCGCTAAAAGATTCGACAAAATATTTTTCTACTGCCGTCTGTAAAATACCTATTTACCTACCGATCTAGCATGCGGGAAGCGTCACTTTACTACGTCAGTTTTGTTTTCCACGGATCCGAGCCACTTCGGACATTTCCGGGATTTTACCGCACGGGTTTGGGAGCAATAGGATGTTTTTGGTGTTGTTTTGCAAAAAATGTTGACCAACTAGTTTTTTTATAATATACTATGCAACAAGTGCGATAAACGGCATTTGAGTCACCAGTTTATTTGACAGAAGTGGAGCGACTATTTAATAAACAAGTGAGTTACTATACTTTTTCTACGACCGTTAGTTTTTGGGTACATTTTCGCAAAACAATACGAATACATTCAACGTCATAACCGTCAGAATTGACAAACGTCACAATTCAAACCGTCCGGAAAATCTCCGAAAACATCCGATTGCCCCCAAACCGTTGCGGTAAAATTCTGGAAATGTCCGAATTGGCTCGGATCCCTAGGACATTGAGATGGCCGTGTTTGTCCAAATGTTCATTTGTCCAAATCGTATCGGAGCGTCCGGGGCTCGTTCGTGGCAGCGCGGGAGGAAGGCAGGCAAAACGTTTACGTGGAGAAAGAATTTTCCTCAATAGAGAATAATCATGATTTGTTTACATTACAATGTTTTTAAAATACATCTATTTGATAATATTTATAGTGCCTCAGCTTAAAAGATTCAGTTGCATTTTAATTAATCAAAGAGCCAAACATATCATAAATGTGTTTGTTTCAAGGTTCTCAATTAATTTCAATAAATCATTGCGGTCATAGTAAAATTATATTTAGGTACCCTTTACTCGGAAAATTGCACACGGCGATTATCACGAATCATGAAAGGTTAATAAAAACGTGTGCCCAATGTAATAAAAAATTAAAAGACTTCCCATTAGATACTTTATTTCACATTTCACGACAACCTAAGTAAAGTGAGAATTATTTATTCCGATCTGTATTGAAGTCTTTGTTTATCTTTGTCCAATATTTGAAACAGTGGTGACAACAAATAAATTCTTTATTCAGATTTAGTAATATCGTTTGGCAACAT